CACTGGAAAAAAAAGGGTGTATGGCTGCCTCAATTGAAATATGTTCACCGGCATATACACTTATTTGAATATTGTGATTACACATTGCAACTTCACGGCAGCTGCTGCATAAAATGTATAAATGCACATTTAAAAATGTTTTAATCTGTACAAATATCAGGCAGATTTGACAGTTTTTTTATTATCACATTCCACAGGTTATTTCCCTGTATGTTTTTCTAGCCACATTTTATACACGGCAAGAGTGTTGAAATGTTTGCTTTGTTTGTTTTTCACAAGCTTAAAAAATAAATATGAAATATTTGTGGCATATCTTCTTCCTTTTTTCATGTTAAAAAAACCAAACACTCCCCCCTTGCATTAAACGCATCGATTCTTGTCCTTTGTTGACTTCCACGACATAGTGCCATCACCGTAACGCTCACGCAGAGGTGGGAGAATACTCAAAGCTTGTACTTGAGTAAAAGTAGAAGTATCAGAGTGTAGGAATACTATGTTACATCGAAATGTTATTCAAGTAAAAGCACAAAATTATGGCATCAAAATATACTTAAAGTACCAAAAGTAAAAGTACTCATTATGCAGATTGGTCCATTTCAGAATAATTTATTTTGATTATAATTATTGATCACTAAAGTGTTATCAAAGCTGGTAAAGGTGCAGCTAGTTTGAATGACTTTGTAGCATACTGCAGGGTAGTTTGTGAATTTACTCCAGGACTAACTAAAGTCTGATTTAAGGGGTGATTATATTTCATCATTAATTCAAACCTGCAATATAACTCAATGTACAAAATAAATGTAGTGGAAAAAGTAGATTTACTCATGTGAAGTACAAGTTCCTCTAAATTGTACTGAAGTACAGTATTGAGTTAATGTACTCAGTTACTTTACACCACTGCACTCACGCTTCTATTGGCCAGCGCTCCAACGCATTGTACGTGATAGGCTAAGGAGTGTGACGTCCTTAAGTGGTTGACCAATCATAACAGAGTCGGCCAGCTAACCAATCAGAGCAGACTGGGCTCTTGTTTCAGACAGAGGGTGAAAATAAAGACCTTTTTGAACATTGAAGCATGTTAACAAGTCACAGTGGAGGCACAGTTTTTTTATTATAACATTCCACAGGTTATTTCCTTGTATATAGCCACATTTTATACACTGTTTGAGTACAACACAGAATTTAAATGAACACTGTATTTTGAACACTGTATTTTGGATTTGCTACTGTGTACTGTGTCAATTGAGGACTTAAGACATTTTTGATTTGTTTGTTTTTCACATACGGTGGCCCTGAAGTGCAAGACACCACAGCATTTCAGAAAACACAACAGCATTTCAGAAAACATTACAGCATTTCAGAAAACACCATAGCATTTCAGAAGATGCCACAGCATTTCACAAAACGCCACAGCATTTCAGAAAACACCACAGCATTTCAGAAAACACTACAGCATTTCACATAGAGTGGCGAAGTCACGCCCACTTACTTCCGCATCATGGGACCTTATTCCGAAAAAATAATACATTGAAGTCAATGGAGAGAGAAAATGTATCTTTTGATCCCGTTTGAATTGTGCCATGAATTACACATATGTTGTTTGTCAATCTTAAAAAATAATTTCCATGTCAAAAAATTCAAGGTTTGTCTTAAAACTCTTGAAATATAAGACTATGAAAAATATGCAACTAGAAAGACTACAAATCCCAGAGTCGCGTAAGTGCTGTCATAACTGATGTATTCCCTCCAGATAGCTAAAAATACATTTATTTACTGTACTTACTTACTTTAACAAGATACCTGTGTGCTTTGTACCAGGTT